GTTCAAGATGACCCAGCGTGGCCTTGCAGGGGTACTGTAGGGGAGCAGGGTTTGCATACAGTGGCTTCTGACCTCAGGATTTAGATCAAGATGACCCAGCGTGGCCTTGCAGGGGTACTGTAGGGGAGCAGGGTTTGCGTACAGTGCTTGGCACAGTGCAGTGCCCTGGCTTCTGACCTCAGGATTTAGACGGATGGCAGGGAAGCAGGATGCATGGTGTGTGGCTGTGGGAGTCTTAGGTGTGAGCTCTACAGAGAGGCTGTGACTGACCTGGTCTCAACCTTCCAGGTGGAGAGCCGGCCACTACAAGGCCGCACGGAGCTCCGGCTGCCCGGCTGCCTGACCTCTGTGTCTTTCGGCCTCCTTGTTTCTGTGGCCTTCCCTGTGGATGGAGAGCCTGGTGAGTGCAGTTCCGAAGAGCCGCCCCTCAGCACTGCTCCCCGTTCTCTTATGTTCTTGCTGGTTATTGGGACGCCTGGAAGGTTTGCCCACTGTTGTGAGTTCTCACCTGGGAATTCTGGGAGGAGGAAGGAAAGCACGTGCAGGCTCTTCTTTCAGAAGAGTAAAATTCTGCAGGAGTCTGCCACTCAGGAAAGAGACAGAGGATTAGGTCTAAGCCAGATTTGATGGTGCAGGCTTGTAATCTCAGCATTTGGGGGGCAGAGCTGGAGGGGTTACAAGTTCAAGGACTGCCTGGTCTGTGTAGCAAGTTCCAAACCAGCCAGGACTTCATGATAAGACCCTGACTCAGTAAAGCAAAGTGAAAAAGGATGAGCCCTAATGTGTGATTTGTAAGTGTTCTGAGAAGGGGAGAGACAGGACAGGAATAGCCCAAGGAAGTGTTTTCAGTGATCCAAGGACGCATAGCACTGGTGACCAGGACCGAGAATCTGTGAGGAATCGTACGCTCTCTCAGGCCTCTGGTCCTGAGCTCTTAGGAAATCTGGGCTCCTGACTTGCCTTGTTGCTCTAGGGGCCTGCTTGACTGCTAGCTGCCCTTCCTGCCCCAGCAATTCCTGCTTCAGCTGTCTGGGAGGGAGGGTGGGCTGATGGCCGGCCTCAGTGCTTGGGTATTTGTCTTCAGATGCTGAGGTTGTGGTGGGAACCACGAGGCCAGAGACACTGCCTGGAGACGTGGCTGTGGCCGTTCACCCTGACGACTCCCGATACACAGTGAGTGTCAGTGTGGCCTCCTGCTCCCATGGTGCACCCTCCCTTCATTGTGAGCGCGCTCTGCCGAGACCCCTCCTCTCAGCCTTGCAGGGGCTCTGACTGCCCCTTCTCTTGTTACACGTGTGCTCGGGGTTGACCAACTGTGGCCTCTGGACCAAGTGCAGCTGCTGCCTGTCTGTCAGCCACACTTATTGGCTCATGTGTTTTCTGTGGCTGCCCCCCACTCCTAATTCTCCACAGTGGCAGTGGAGGAATTCCTCAGACTGTACTGCTTGGCTCACTCAAAAGCCTGGAGTATTCACACCTGACCCCTGAAGGAAAAGGATTCTGGCCTTGCCTGGCCCTTTACCTTCTGGATGTCACCCTCTTGCTCTGGGTTCTCACACCCCAGCCTCTCTCCCCACACTCCCTGTCCCTGACTGCTCCCCCTCCCTTCAGCATTTACATGGGCGACAGCTTCGTCACCCCTTGACGGGGCAGCTTCTTCCCCTCATCACAGACACCGCTGTTCAGCCACAGATGGGCACAGGTATGTGGAGGTCAAGGGTTCAGGGAGCAAGAGACAGAGTGGGGGCTGTAGGGAAGGGGAGGGAGCCTGGGGGGGAGGAAAGGAGTGAGCCAGGAGAGCCTCTAGTGGGAGTGACAGACCTGTGGGGTAAGAGGCGTGGGAGACGATGCACCTGGAAAGCCAAGGCCAAGGTCAGCACCAGCACTCACAACAGCTCTGCTTCCCCAGGGGCAGTGAAGGTGACTCCAGGCCACAGTCCTGTTGATGCTGAGATGGGGGTCCGGCATGGCTTGAGCCCCCTGAGTGTCATTGCGGAGGACGGGACCATGACCTCCCTCTGTGGAGACTGGCTGCAGGTGGGGCCGGTTTGGGCATTTCCTGTCCTGACGGGCACCCTCTGCCTGGTCCCCCTGTTCTTTCTGGACAGACCTCGAACCTTTCCTTTTGCTTTCCCCCAGGGTCTTCACCGGTTTGTGGCCCGGGAAAAGATTGTGTGTGCACTAAGGGAGCGGGGCCTGTTTCGGGGCCTCCAGGAGCACCCCATGGTGCTGCCCATCTGCAGGTAACCCCATTTTAATCCTTCACTAAGGGCCACCCCCAAAAAGAGCAGCAGCCAGGGTGGGCTCTGTACTCCAAGTTAGGAGTGCAGGTTTCATGGCAGAGTTTGAGTTCATTTGTACGGGGTCCTGATAACACAGCCCAGGTTGGCCCGGAAATCCTCCTGACTCAGCCTCCCATATGCTGCCGTGCTGGGCTTCAACCATGCTGGGCTTTGCAGCTGTTCTTGTGTACATGGTGGTCTGGGAACAGCACAAGCCTGAGGAGCCTTACCATGCTCCCCTCTGTACTCCTCTCCCTCTTCCTCCCCCTCCTCCTCCTGCTTCTCCTGCTCTTCATCCTGCTTCCTTGCAGCCGTTCTGGGGATGTAGTCGAGTACCTGCTGAAGAGCCAGTGGTTTGTCCGCTGCCAGGAAATGGGGGACCGAGCCGCCAAGGTAAGGCTGTAGTGTGGAAGGATGAGGCCTGGGGTTGGGGCATGTGTGAGAACTGGGGTGATGAAATGGGGATCAGAGAACCTGCTGCCCAGAAGGTGCTCCAGCTGTGGTGACTGAGGATGCTGTGGGCTGGGAGCCAGTGGTCAGAGAGGGCTGGCGTGTACCCTTGTTAAAGCCCAGAATCTTTCTGGGTAGCTTTCTACATCCTTTTGAGGGGGTTGTGGCCAGATAGCTCAGTGGATAAAGGTATCTGCCACCAAGCCTGACTACCTTAGTTCAATCCCCAGAACCCATGTGGGGGAGGAAGAGAACCAACTCCACGAGTCGTCTTCTGACCTCTACACATGCCATGGGTGTGTGTGTGTGTGTGTGTGTGTGTACACCCACTGTGGTGTACATGTAGCATGTGTGTGTGTGTGTGTGTGTGTGTGTGTGTGTGTGTGGTGTGTGTGTACACCCACTGTGGTGTACATGTAGCGGTCAGAGGACAGCTTTGTGGAGTCAGTTCTCTCCTGTCTCTTTATGGGTTCTGGGGATAGAACTCAGGTCGTCACTATTGTGAGGCAAGTGCTTGACCCTAGAGTCACCTCAGCATCAGAAGTAGCACTGACTGAAGGCCCCTGTCTTCCAGGCTGTGGAGTCGGGGGCCCTGGAGCTCTGGCCCTCCTTCCACCAGAAGAGCTGGCAGCGTTGGTTTGCCCACATCGGGTATGGAAGGACAAGGTGGCTCTGGAGGTAGGGAGGAGGATCCATGGGTCACATAGCATCACTGGCATCCTCTTCTCTTGGCAGGGATTGGTGTGTCTCCCGACAGCTGTGGTGGGGACATCAGATTCCAGCCTACCTGGTTGTTGGGGAGTGTGTGGAGGTTGGTGGAAAGAGCCTTATCCAGGAGTCGGGATTGCCATTGCTGGTGCTCTCGAGCATTCTTTGCCATCTGTTGTGGAAGCTACTGTAACAGTGCCCCGCACCCTCAGCGGGACCTGTCACTCACTCTGAGGCCTCAGGAGAGAATGTGGGTATGGCGTTCACACCTACCTCCTGCCCCTTCCTCACTCTCCATTTTAATTTTCAGGGTGACGAGGAGTGCTGGGTGGTTGGGCAGTCAGAGGCCGAGGCCAGAGAACGAGCAGCAGAGCAGACTGGGAGGCCAGGGGCTGAGCTGACCCTGGAGAGGGGTGAGTGCCCAGCTGGGGAAGGCAGGCAGGGCAGAGGCTTGCTGGGTCTTTGAGGGGAGCAAGGGGCTTAGACAAGCTGGATTGGACCAGGTGAGTCCTGGTCTTGGGGTGGGGTTGGCTGGCAGAGTGGGTAGCACTGGTTCTAGCTGTCCCCGTTCCCCATTCTGGTTCCCAGACCCCGATGTCCTGGACACCTGGTTCTCTTCGGCTCTTTTTCCCTTCTCTGCCCTGGGCTGGCCCCAACAGGTGAGGTGGGCACAACACTGGTGGACAGGTAGCCCGCAGTGTCAAGACTGGCCGAGGCAGGACTTGGACCTCTCTCACTGCTCATCTGTCTTCGTAGACTGCAGACCTTGCTCGATTCTACCCCCTGTCACTTATGGAAACAGGCAGCGACCTCCTGATGTTCTGGGTGGGCCGCATGGTCATGCTGGGGACCCAGCTCACAGGGCAGCTCCCCTTCAGCAAGGTAATGGTGCTCCAGTGCCCCCCTTTTGGTGGATCCCCTCTTCCCCAAACCTGTCCTCCCTCTTGACTCCTGATACATGTTTTCTGACTCATTTTCAACCCTAGTCCCTAAAGTACAGAGGCCATGGGCCCCCTGTGCTGACCCTTCCGTGTCCCCCAAGGCCGTGGGCCCCCTGTGCTGACCCCTCCGTGTCCCCCAAGGCCTTGTGCCCCCTGTGCTGACTGCTCTGTGTCCCTAGGTGCTGCTTCATTCCATGGTTCGGGACAGGCAGGGCCGGAAGATGAGCAAGTCCCTGGGGAATGTGTTGGACCCACGGGACATCATCAATGGGGTGGAGCTGCAGGTAAGAACAGAGGATCTGGCTAAGGGATGAGGGGATCCGAGGAGAGGAGAGGGGTGAGGAATAGCAGACATGACCCCTGTAAGGATCGGCAGTGACCTAGGCCAGTGATCCCTAGGTGCTGCTTCATTCCATGGTTCGGGACAGGCAGGGCCGGAAGATGAGCAAGTCCCTGGGGAATGTGTTGGACCCACGGGACATCATCAATGGGGTGGAGCTGCAGGTAAGAACAGAGGATCTGGCTAAGGGATGAGAGGATCCGAGGAGAGGAGAGGGGTGAGGAATAGCAGCCATGACCCCTGTAAGGATCAGCAGTGACCTAGGCCAGTGGTGTCCTCATTCATGCCCAGGTGCTGCAGGCCAAGCTGAGAGATGGGAACTTGGACCCAGGAGAGCTGGCCATTGCAGCTGCAGCCCAGGTGAGGCCCATGTCCCCAGTCCAAGCCTCTACTCGGCCGCCAGTTTCCTCTGCAGCTTCGAGGCACCTGCCACACTCTCTCTTTGGTTGCAGAAAAAGGACTTTCCTCACGGGATCCCCGAGTGTGGGACGGATGCCCTGAGATTCTCACTGTGCTCCCATGGAATCCTGGGTGAGCCTGGGAGGATGGGCTGGCAGAGGGCAGTGGGCAGCGGTGTGGATAGCCTGGCTAAACGAGGACTGAGTACCCCTGTTCTTTCCCTCCAGGGGGTGACCTGCACCTGTGTGTCTCTGAGGTCCTGAGCTTTCGCCATTTCTGCAACAAGATCTGGAACGCTCTGCGCTTTATCCTCAGTGCACTGGGGGACAGCTTCGTACCCCTGCCCACGGAGGAGGTGAGAGGAAGGCAGCCAGGCCTGGAATGGGCCTGCATGGGCTGCTTGCACGTCTGAGGGCTGAAGGGGCTTCTGGAAAGGGGGTGGCAAGGTGGATCCCCTCTTCCCCAAACCTGTCCTCCCTCTTGACTCCTGATACATGTTTTCTGACTCATTTTCAACCCTAGTCCCTAAAGTACAGAGGCCATGGGCCCCCTGTGCTGACCCTTCCGTGTCCCCCAAGGCCGTGGGCCCCCTGTGCTGACCCCTCCGTGTCCCCCAAGGCCTTGTGCCCCCTGTGCTGACTGCTCTGTGTCCCTAGGTGCTGCTTCATTCCATGGTTCGGGACAGGCAGGGCCGGAAGATGAGCAAGTCCCTGGGGAATGTGTTGGACCCACGGGACATCATCAATGGGGTGGAGCTGCAGGTAAGAACAGAGGATCTGGCTAAGGGATGAGGGGATCCGAGGAGAGGAGAGGGGTGAGGAATAGCAGACATGACCCCTGTAAGGATCGGCAGTGACCTAGGCCAGTGATGTCCTCATTCATGCCCAGGTGCTGCAGGCCAAGCTGAGAGATGGGAACTTGGACCCAGGAGAGCTGGCCATTGCAGCTGCAGCCCAGGTGAGGCCCATGTCCCCAGTCCAAGCCTCTACTCGGCCGCCAGTTTCCTCTGCAGCTTGGAGGCACCTGCCACACTCTCTCTTTGGTTGCAGAAAAAGGACTTTCCTCACGGGATCCCCGAGTGTGGGACGGATGCCCTGAGATTCTCACTGTGCTCCCATGGAATCCTGGGTGAGCCTGGGAGGATGGGCTGGCAGAGGGCAGTGGGCAGCGGTGTGGATAGCCTGGCTAAACGAGGACTGAGTACCCCTGTTCTTTCCCTCCAGGGGGTGACCTGCACCTGTGTGTCTCTGAGGTCCTGAGCTTTCGCCATTTCTGCAACAAGATCTGGAACGCTCTGCGCTTTATCCTCAGTGCACTGGGGGACAGCTTCGTACCCCTGCCCACGGAGGAGGTGAGAGGAAGGCAGCCAGGCCTGGAATGGGCCTGCATGGGCTGCTTGCACGTCTGAGGGCTGAAGGGGCTTCTGGAAAGGGGGTGGCAAGAAGGTGGGGTGCAGCCGTCTGGGTCCTGATGGCCCCTGCTTGCAGCTGTCTCCCTCCTCCCCCATGGACGCCTGGATCCTGAGCCGCCTGGCCCTTACAGCCCAGGAATGTGAGCGAGGCTTCCTCACCCGGGAGCTCTCTCATGTCACGCACGCCCTGTACCATTTCTGGCTGCACAGCCTCTGTGACGTCTACCTGGTGAGTGCAAGGGCGGGGCTCCTGGAATGGGGAAAGACCAGAGCTCTGTGGGCCGTTCTCGGTTGTCCACTGTGCACGGAAAGGAGAGTGTGTTGCCCCTTCGCTGGCCTGGGCTCTCTGTGGCCTCTGTCCTGGTGAGAGGAGGCCAGGAGACCTCTGCTGCGGTCGGATGAGTCAGGACTGAAGGCAGAGGGTTTCTTCAGCCTCCACAGCACCTGTGTTTAGAATGTGGGGGCCTGGGAGGAGAGTGTGCTGTGATGGCTTCAGACCCGGGTCCTCACGCAGCGTCCTGTGTCAGCCTCGCCAAGAGGGCTCGCTCACCACAGACCCAGCCACGCCCATGTCCTTCATGTCCTGCCGGCGACTTTGGGAATTGGGTGCTTCTTTGGGAATTGGGTGCTTCTTCCTGGGTGTGCTGATGCCCCTGGCTATGGAGCTTTCTTCTAGATGCTTCTCAGCCTTGTTAAGAACCATTGTTCCACCTGACTTGGTGGCCCATGCCTTTAATCCTGGTACTCCATCACTCAGAGGCAGAGCCAGGTGGATCTCTGTGAGTTCCAGGTCAGCCTGGTCTACATAGTGATTTCCAGGCCAGCTGGGGCTACAGGGAGACCCTGTCTCAAAAGACAAAAACAAAAAAACTAAAAACTGTCCCATGGCTGAGTGCTTGGCTCTGCGGTAGAGATTTGCCTGGCTCGCTCACATGCTTGAGGCTCTGGGTTCCATCCCCAGCACTGCAAGAGCAACCTCTGTCTTCCAATGAGCAAAAAAAAACCCAACCAATCGACAAAAACTGGACTTTTTCTAAGCTGCCTGCCTTCCTGAGAATCTTCCTTTCCTACCTCTGGGAATTGTTGCTCTGGACCGCTGTTCATATGTTCCAGCGTGCCCTGGGAGGGACAGCATGGTACCAGTCAAGCCCAGTGCCTTAGCACATTCCCCCATCCGAGGAACTGCTCCTGTTTGCCCACAGTTCCCACCAGATCAGCACTGACCATGGAGGCAGGATGTGGTGTGTCGGCCATCCTCTCACCTGTCGGCTCCCTCCTTAGGAAGCGGTGAAGCCGGAGCTGTCCCGTGCTCCCTGCCCGCCAGGGCCCCCTCAAGTCCTGTTCTCCTGTGCAGATGTTGGTCTGCGCCTCCTTGCCCCGCTGATGCCCTTCCTGGCAGAGGAACTGTGGCAAAGGCTGCCCCCCAGGCTGGACGGTTCCCCTGCCCCCAGCATCTGTGTGGCCCCCTACCCCAGTGCCTGCAGCCTGGTGAGTTGGGCAGGGCTCTGGGGTCCCTCTGTCAGATTTTCCCATGGGGCCTTTGGGGGAGTCGATGGGTTGTCCTGCAGGGCTGCTGTGACCAGGGGCTGGGGATGGGCAGTGTCAGCAGGAACCCCTCCTGCTCAGTCGGTGTCCTGTGTGACCTCCTTGGCGTCTTCACCCTTTGACTTTAGTTTCCTTTAGAACAGGGTCTTGCTGTGTTTCCCGGGCAGGGCTCAAACCCATGATCCTGCACACCCCAGGTGCTGGGATCATGAGCGTCACCTCTATACCTGGTCCCCTTCCCCCATTTTTAAACCAAGGACAGCAGTAGTGTTATAGTTGTGATAAGGTTCAGACGAGCCAGTAACATAGCATCCCCAAAATCTCAGGGCAATGTTAGTATCCTCAGAAGGGTAAATGCTACAGACACACCTAGGGGAATTTGAGTCCTAGGGATTGAGTGAGTCTCTACCACTGAGCTGTATTGTATTCCCAATACCCCTTTCACTGTTTTTAAAAGATTTTTAAGATTTTCAGTTGTATGTATATATTCTGGGGGGCTGGGTGTGTGCATATATAAATGTACTGCTGTAGAAGATGAAAGCTGGGTTCCCTGGAGCTGGGGTTACATGTGGTTGTGAGTCAGTTGACGTGGGTGCTGGGAACTGAACTTTGGGTCCCTTAAAAAATGGTGCCTGCTCAGCCATCTCTCCAGACCTTCTTTATTTTTAAAGATTTATGTGTGTGAGCATGCGTGTGTGGTAGTCAGAGAACAACTTTTGGGGAGTTGGTTCTCTACTGAACTTTGGGTCCCTTAAAAAATGGTGCCTGCTCAGCCATCTCTCCAGACCTTACTTCTTTATTTTTAAAGATTTATTTATGTGTGTGAGCGTGCGTGTGTGGTAGTCAGAGAACTTTTGGGGAGTTGGTTCTCTACTTTGTTTCTGAGCTTGCACCATGTCTGGGTTTTAGGGATCAAATTCAGGCCTCCAGGCTTGCATGGCAAGCATCAGTGTGCTGGGCCGTTTCCCCAGCCCCACTACTTACCTTGAGACGATCTCGCTAAATTACCAGGACTAGCCTTGAACTTGGTTGCTGTCTTTCTGTCTCATGCTCAAAAATTAAAGTTAATTATTTAAGTTTTTTTGATACTTACTTGGTTTTATGCATTTTGGGTAGTGTTTAAAGTTGTAATTGTGGTAGTTGGTGTCTTAAGTCAGAGTACAGGGTGTCAGTCCCTGGTTACATAAAACCTTCTTAGATGGCACCCCACCTACCCCTGGAGGTGGAGCATTCTCTGTATTGTTGAGGATGGTGGGTGAGTAGAGGACAGAGCCAGGAGAATTGATGCTGAGTTTCTCAGGAGCCCCTTGCTGACTCTGGGTCCCTTTCCCAGGAGCCCTGGCGCCAGCCTGAGCTGGAGCGCTGCTTCTCCCGAGTCCAGGAGGCTGTGCAGGTGCTGCGGGCACTCCGAGCCACTTACCAGCTCACCAAAGCCCGGCCCCAAGGTGAGGCTGGTGGTGGGGGTCTGGGTGTCTTCAGGAAGGGGCTGCTAGGGAAGAGCCAGCCTGGGTGGGGATGGGAGTCAGGTGGGAGCTGATGCCTGGTTCTGACCCCACCCCACTCCACTCCCCAGTGTTGCTTCAGAGCACAAACCCAGGAGAGCAGAGACTCTTCCAACCCTTCCTGGAGCCTCTGGGCACCCTGAGCCACTGTGGGGCCGTAGGGTTGCTGCCCCCAGATGCGGCCGCTCCCTCTGGCTGGGCCCAGGCACCACTTGGTGACACCATTCAAATCTACATGGAGCTACAGGTGACCAGAGGGGACTGGAGGGACTTCAAGGAATGAAAGATAGCAGGCCTTAGGGTGGGGACTGGGCAGGCTGCTGGTGTTAGTCTTCTCTCCGCCCTTCCCCAGGGCCTGGTGGATCCCCAGAGCCAGCTACCTCGGCTAGCTGCCCGGAGGCAGAAGTTACAAAAGCAGTTTGACAGCCTCCTGGCCCGGCCCTCATCAGAGGGGGTGGTGGCGAGGCAGCAGAAGGTGAGCTGAGGGAGCCTAGGTCCCTGAGGGTCTGGGCAGAGAGGCCAGCTCACACTACATCCTCACCCTCTCCTTGTCCAGCTTGCCTCCCTCCGCCTGGAATTGTCAAAGCTGGACCAGGCAGCCTGCCACCTTCAGCAGCTGTTGGATGGGGCTCCCGGCGTCAGGGAGCTCTGAGCCCAACTCATCCCTCCCGTGTTCTCCCTGGCTTGCCTTTGAGGACAGACCCAACCCGCCTGCTGCTGGTGCAGTGGACCGTAGAGGCAGCGTGACCTGCCTTGTGATTGAGGAGCTAAAGATAAGTTGACAAGATCCCAGACGCTTTGTGGTCCTTTGTCCTTCCTCCCTACTTGACTTTCCCTCCTCTCCATCATTTGATTGCTCTGGGAAGAGGGGGGATGCCTCTTGGCTCCTGGCTCTGGGTGACAGGAGTGTGGGTGCCGGGCTGGGTCTGCCTGGTTGAGGAAGGAGGTGCTTTCTGGGGTGGGGCACAGGCACTGTGACCTGGTTCCAGTAGTTTCCCACACTAAGCAACAGGCTCTGGCCACTGGGCCTTCCTGCTCTCCTCATGGTGCAGAAGTTCTTTTGTTCCCTGGTAGTGGGGCTGGAGGTACTGTGAGGGGTCCTGGGGTTCACGCGCCTCCCACTGCACCCAACTGAGTTTTGCAGTCCCACACCGTTTGCCCAGCACATCTGAGTAGCTGTTGAACCTTCATGGGCTGGGTCCTCCATTTTTGCCATACAAGAACCCATTCACATGGTTGCTAGAAAGTGCTTGGAGAATGGATGTTGCCTAAGGCGTCACAGGGATTTAGCTCAGTGGAGTCAGCATGATAACTAGGGAGCAGCACTTTGCTGCTGCCGTGACCAGCCTTCACACGGGACGGTGGCCTCTACACATGCATGCGCCTGTTGCTGGGCAGTGGTGTAGGGCTCTGCAGTTGTGGGGCCTGGTCCCTTTTGATCTTGTTTTCCTGCCACAATCTTGTTTTCCTGCCACATACTTGAAGGGAAGGGGGAAGGAAGCAGGTGCGTTTCCTGAGTCTTTGGTCCTGGTTCCACAGGTGGATTCCCAGTGACTGGGCAGAGGTTTCTGCCCTGTGGTCTGATCCTAGCAGGGACTGTTAGAAATAAGCAGATGCCCATACGTAAATGATACAGTATGTTGGAGGGAGCAGAGGGCATTTGGAAAGGGAATCAGTGTTAGGTTGGAACGTTAAATAGTTCAAAGTGATGTTTGAGCAAAGGCTTCTGGGAGGTGCCGGGAGCCGATCCAGTGAAGGACTAGAGAAAAACTGAGGTGAAGGTGTTCTTGGGGCACCCCAAGTACCAAGGAGGACAGTGTGTAAGGCAGAGCAAGCCCAGGGGAGGCCATGGAAGGTGGAGGCAGAGCTGAGGGAAGCAGCAGGGAGCAGGGCTGTGCCATGGCAAACACTGGGTTCCTTTGCCTCACTGGCAGCTTCCCAAGGGTCTGGTAGCCAGCTACAGCTGATGGCTACCACATTGGTCTGCACAGTTATAAACATTTCTGTTGATACAGATTATGTTAGAAAGCACTGAAAAACCTATGGGCTTTTGAAGGGCCGGACCTCCCCTTTCCCCCAAGTGGAGGCTCATTTCCTCCCAAGGATCTTACTTCCTACTTGCATCCTGTTGGGTAGTATCTGATTGCAGGACCAACCTAGCTGCAAGGGAGGCTGGCAGGTGACTAGTCAGCCCTGTTTCCTGCTAAAATATACTTGATTCCTAAAGGAGGAGAATGGTGATTTGGGGGCAGGTTAGCTGTCCTGCCCCAGTTGTGGTGAACTCCAAGTCACTGTCCAGTGTACCCTTCTAGGGAGAGAGTCTGGAAGCCACACCCTAGTGACCCAGGCCTTGAGCCTGAGAGGTCACTGTGGAGTAGCCCTCTGTCCACTGCATGTGGACATGCAGCCCCCAAGCTCATCTGGAGTGTGCACACTTGACCATGGCTGTCCTCCCCACTGGTGCAGTCACGGCTCCTTTGGGGGCCTGTAGCTGCCTCTCCCCAGGGCTAAATGTTCAGGAAGTTAGGAGAGCGGCGAGATCTCTGCTGCCTCATCTTCAGACTTCCTCTGCTGGAGCATGTTGTCACCTCCAGGAGTCCACTCTCCTCTGATGGGGGTGATGGTGGCTAGGTGGGGATGGGGAGCAAGAATAGAGACGGAAGGATAGAAAGCGAGTCTCAACACTGCAAGGGAGGTCTAGGCTGCCAGCTTGTGTTGTAGCTGGTGAGGTGATCTGAGAAGAGAGGAAGAAGAGGAAGACCCTGGATCTCCAAGGGGATTTGGATTTCTGCTCTGACAGCCATCCCTCCCATCTGTGCCCACCTACTGCATGACGGCCCAGTGGTACATACTAGTGTATCCACACAACACTTAATAGACGTCTCCAGTGAGGGCACTGCATCATCCCGTCCCCATTGTGGTGAATAAATGGAGACTTGGAGAGGATGGAAGTCCACACTAGGACTCCTGCTCCCCTGTGGTCACAGGTCCACATGGCACGTGCTCCTCTAACACCTGTCCCCTCTCCAGCACTGGGACCTGCTGACCACTTAGCTGAACCCCTCACCTCCCTCTGAGCTCCCTGGTTCACCCACTTCCCACCCTGAGCAGGCCACAGGACCCCTGGACCAGGGGACCACGTCCTTGGGTGTTCTGTTCATAGTCCTGGAGGTTCCTGGGTTGAGCCCCAAAGCCTAGGCCACAGGGACTGTAATTAAAACCTGCTTAAACCGAGACAGCTGTGTGGTGGTGACTCTTTAGCTGCTGTTGGAGCTCAGGAGAGCAGCTTCCCTCTCTAAGCCTGGATTTCCTCATCTGTGAAATGGGCCAATAACACCTGTTACCAAGCATTCAGTATTGCAGGCAATAAGTGGAAAAGCCCGGGCAGAGAGGGATGAAGGGAGCCTCCAGTCCCAGGAGCTCTAAAGAGCTCAGCTGTGTGTGTGTGTGTGGGGGGGGGGTGGTGTCTAGTGTGCCTGTATGTTTTCAGTTACTCCCTCTGGGCCTCTGTGGTGTTAAGGGGGAGTCCATCAGAACCCAAATCAGCATCAAGGGCAAAGACCTGGGTATCCAGCTCCCTTTTCCTGTCCACCCGCCTGTTACTCCCTCTGGGCCTCTGTGGTGTTAAGGGGGAGTCCATCAGAACCCAGATCAGCATCAAGGACAAAGACCTGGGTATCCAGCTCCCTTTTCCTGTCCACCCGCCCGTGCTGGTGGAACCGCTGTCATTGAATTCAGCTTGTTTATTGGCATGCAGCAGGGCAGGCCCAAGTACTCTCCCTCCCCTGCTCCCCAGGGCTGCATGCATGTCGGTAAGGCGGGCTTCAGTTGCTCAGGCTCTGCAGGTGAGGTGGTGTCGGGGTCCTGTCTGATAGAGGGTAACGTTGGTCCCGGAAGGGAGTTGGAGGAGGAGGCAGAGCTGGGGAACGGAAGGAAGATGAGGTGTGTAAGATGGTGCCCCTCTCCCTGCTTGACTCAGCCAGCCCCCAGCAGAGACCCAGAGGGACTCACAGAAGCACACAGACCCCTCCTCTCCCAGAGAACTACCTTTTGGAGCAATTCAGGAAAGCTGGAGTCCTGTGAGGCCTTAGCTCGAAAAGCCTCCTTCAGCTTCACCTGCAAAGTCACTCTTGGCCCTGCGAATCCAAAAATGTGGCTCAGGACCCAGCAGTCGGTCAGGGCCAAGTTCCCTCAGGGATAGGGGAGGGGGCTCCTGACCGACACTGCCCCAGGATCCCCTTCCTCCAGGTCTCTCAGATCAGGGACTCCTCGGACTCGGCACCTCGTCTCTCTCAGTGACCAAGATCCTCCCCTGCTCCCACCTCTGTCCCCGCCTCCAGCCCTCACCTGTTGCTAACTCAGGACCCAGCAGTCGGTCAGGGCCAAGTTCCCTCAGGGATAGGGGAGGGAGCTCCTGACCGACACTGCCCCAGGATCCCCTTCCTCCAGGTCTCTCAGATCGGGGACTCGGGCTCGGACTCGGCACCTCGGTCTCTCTCAGTGACCAAGGTCCTCCCCTGCTCCCACCTCTGGTCGAGGACCAGCTGTCCCCGCCTCCAGCCCTCACCTGTTGCTAACGAGCTGCTGAGGGGGGCCAGGAGGAGGAAGAGCAGCAAGGACCCCATCATGGCTCCCCCACTGCTCCAGGGCAGTAGAGGTACGGGAGAGCCTCCACCTAGTTTCCAGCACCTGTGCTGGGGGGATTGCGGGAGGAACTGACAAGTGGGTTTTCCAGTTCTCCCCTGTCTTGGAGAGGGCGGCCCTCCCTCAGCACGTGCCCCACTTTTCCCCAGATGTGAGGGGCAGGCGCTTGAAGAAAGAAAGGTGAGGACAGGGAGGGGCCCCCACGGGCGTCTGGGCCCCACCCAAGCCTGAGTCCCTCAGTGGTTCTTGAGGAATTAATTATTAACTGTTCTTAGCTGTCAGCATCCTGCCACGGAAGGGCTCTGGAATGTGCTCAGAGGGGAGGGGTGGGTTAGGCCTATCTCGGTCCTCAGCCCAGGAGCCCCCCACCCCCATGGCTTTCCAGGTGGGAAACCCAGGCAGTGGGAGCTTCCAGCTCAGAATGGTTTGCTATGAACAGCGGTGTTTCTAGTGTATATGAGTTCTCTGTGTAGCATTGGTTGGTCTGGAACTCACAGAGATCCACCTGCTTCTGTCTAGGATTAGAAGTGCGCACCGCCATGCCTGGCCCAGTTCTCTGCTCTCACAGGAATATGATGCCTTAATTACGGAAAACAAAGACTTAATACATTCTTACTGTCATCCTTTAGTGTATGAGCATCAAGTTAGCATGTCTGTCAGCGTGTCTTTCAACTCTGTTAGGATGTTGGACTTTAAACTTACTGTTTAAGTTGAAGACTTGATTTTCATAAAAATTACCAAATGAGGGCCTGGAGAGATGGCTCAGCGGTTAAGAACACTGTTCTTGCAGAAGATCCGGGTTCGAATTCCAGCACCCACATGGCAGCTGACAACTGTCTGTAACTCCAGTTGCAGGGGATCCAACAGCCTCTTCTGTCCTCCGTGGGCATTGCACGACATGGGTGCACTTACCTACATGCAGGCATAACACTCATACACATAAAATAAAAAGAAGTATTTAAAAAATTACCAAATGAATATTGACTTGGGATTAGGACAGAATTTCCAACAGTTTTTGAAATGACCCTGAGCACCCTTTTGCCATTCGTGTGAAATTTCTGAAAAATACGGTGCTCTGACTTGCAGTGTTAAATACTCAGCCAAGATTTAGCCCTTTAAAAGATCATTTTTCAAGCTGGGTGTGGTGGTGCATGCCTTTAATCCCAGCACTCAGGAGGGAGAGGCAGGTGGATCGTTGTGAGTTCAAGGCCAGCCTGGTCTACATAGTGAGTTCAGGTCAGCTGGGACTACAGGAAGACCCTGTCTCAAAAAGACAGGAAAAAAAAAAAAAAAAAAAAGAACATTTTCATTTGTGTGTGTGCCGTGTGGTGTGCGCAGGTGCCAGAGGAGGGCATCAGATCCACTAGAGCTGGAGTTACAGGTGTTTGTGAGCTGCCTGTTATGGGAACTAAACTGGGATCCTCTGCAAGACCAACAAGCTCAGGGCTGGAGAGACGCTCAGTGGGTAAGAGCACTTGCTGCTCTTGCAGAGAACCTGAGTATGGTTCCCGCACGTATAAACATTATATATATAAATTTTAAAAGGCCTGGTGAGATGGTTCAGTGAGTAAAAGCACTTGCTATCAAACCCAATGACCTGTGTTCAAGTCTCAGGACCCATGTATATACTGTTTCACAACACACACACACACACACACACACACACACACAAACACACACCCACCCATGCACACACATACAAATTCAATAAATTTTAATTTAAAGAGCAGCAAGAACTCTTAACAACCGAACCATCTCTCTAGCCCAAAATTTGCACTTGCTATCAAACCCAATGACCTGTGTTCAAGTCTCAGGACCCATGTATATACTGTTTCACAACACACACACACACACACACACACACACACACAAACACACACCCACCCATGCACACACATACAAATTCAATAAATTTTAATTTAAAGAGCAGCAAGAACTCTTAACAACCGAACCATCTCTCTAGGCCAAAATTTAATTCTTTATTTAAAAATAAGCAAGCCGTTCATCTCGTTAGTATGCAAATTATGTTAAAATAAGAATCATCTCGTTAGTATGCAAATTATGTCAAAATAAGAATTATCTCATTAGTATGCAAGTTTACTCTCCTCTTTAATAAATGGTAAAATTATATGTATACCAAGAACTTTTATTTTTTAATTATTTTTATTTTATATGTATGAGTGTATTGCCTGCATATATTTAAGTGCACCATGGCTTACAATGCCCGCAAAGGCCAGAAGGGGGCATCGGATCCCCTGGAACAGGAGTTACAGACCGTTGTTAGTCACCATGTGAGTGCTGGGAATCAAACCTGGATCCTCTGAAAGAGCGGCCAGTGCTCTTAACCCCTGAGCCATCTCTCCAGTCTCCAAAGAACTGTTTAAAATAAATTTTTGTGGTTTATTACTGTAAATGCTTGATTTGTATAACTATTTTATGCAATTATATACTCAGCGTCATGTAAAAAATTCTCAGGCATGAAGAGGCCAAAAGTGGATAGTTTAGAAAGCCTTGGCTAGGTGAGCGGTGGCTCAGGAGCCCAGCCTCCCTCACTGCCTGAGGACATCAGGCATACAGTCTCCAGTTGTGAGAGCCTTCCCCCAAGCCCTGCTTCTCTGAGGGAGTCCTATGTCCTGACCCCCAGTATCTACTCCTGGGAGTAAGTGGAGGAGTCTTCAGATTCTTATTCATTCTGGCCCTCACCTAGTGTTTTCTGGGGTCAGCTGGGACATACTAGGCCCTGGTGCAGCTTGGGGACCTCTCCCTGGGAGGCCTGAGCACACAAGCTCTCCTGGGACTTGTTAGAGTCCCAGAAACTTTGATGAGATGGCAGCTGCCGGGCTGTTCCTGGGCTGCAGCCCTGGAGAGATGCAGCGAGACCAGGCAAGAGTGCTCAGTGAGGACCTGCCTGTGGGACCCAGAGAATGAGCTAAGTCTTCTAACCTCACCATGGGGTTCTATTTCTTTGTTCAACAGTTTAGCTGAGCTCCTATCTTACCCCCACCCCTGAACTCTGACACACCTAGAAGTCTCCTCACTGCATGTTTGGGTCTCCACACCCTCTGGGAGTTTCTCTCCCTCCAGTCTCTTTCTTTAACATTTATTTTATTTTAATTTTACATGTATGAGTATTTTGCCTGTTTGTATGTAAGTGTACCATGTGCATTCAATACCCATAGAGGTCAGAGGAGGGCATCAGGTCCCCTGGAACTGGAGTTACAGATGGTTGCTAGCTACCAAGTGGGTGCTGGGAATTGAACCTGGGTCCTCTGCAAGAGCAGCCAGTGCCTGTCACCTCTGAGCCATTTCTCCAGCCCCTCTCTCTAGTCTCTTAGGCCACTGAATTTTCCTGACGTTGGCTCCTCCCTCTGTTCCTGGCTGCACTTCAGAATGGCATGTGGGCATGTGTTCAGGTGCTATTTCTGTTCCTCCCCCACTCTAGAGAGCTCTTGAGCTCACTGGAGCCGGGGTGGGGCTTCCTGTGCTGTGAGTGGGAGCTGTGCTTTCCCCAGCTGCCCCTCCGGTGGCTGTGCAGGGTCCCTCTTGCTGGTTTCTAGTTTACCAACTTTTCCTCTGGTCAGTGACTTTTGTGTCTTCTGCACTATTTCTTTTTTGCGCATTTTGAGGTCGTGAAAACATCCTGCTGAGCTTTCTTCCAGGGACTTTGTCATTTCAGTTTCCAAACGTACAGGATCCTTCGAAAGTGAATTTCTGTGTTTAGGATGTAGTATCCATTATGGATATTCAAGAACCCCAGAGCCATTTATTTAAAAACTCCTGGGGGTCAGAGAACACCTTTGTTACAAGTCAAGTGTCCATGTTTTTGTGGATTTCTTTCCAGACTTCCTACTCATTTAACCTAAACTAGATAATCCCTCACAGGCATCGCCAGAGACTAACCTAATCTGGATCATTTCATGCCTGGAGACTAACCTAATCTAGATGATCCCTCACAGGGGCCCAGAGGCTAACTTAATCTAGATAATCCTTCACAGGCATCACCAGAGGCTAACCTGATCTAGATGATCCCTCACAGGCATCACCAGAGACTAACCTGATCTAGATGATCCCTCACAGGGGCCCAGAGGCTAACTTAACCTAGATCATTTTATGCCTGGAGACTAACCTGATCTAAATGATCCCTCACAGGCATGTCCAGAGGCTTGTCTCTCAGGTATGTCTAGAACTTGTCAAGCTGACAGTCACTAGTAACCATCACATATAGTCAGCACATAGTCAGTACCGTGTTTGTTCTTATGATGAGAAAAGCTGTTTTCCAGCAGCATGACAGCAAATCACACCATCGTCACCGCTTACGGTGATGTTGGAGAGGCAGGATGATCCCTACAATACCAGGTGGTGGGAAATTTCCATCTCCATGGGGGGGCTGTCATCCTTGCTGTCTGTCACTCACTGTCATCAGTCATCATCATGTAGCATGTGACTATGTTGTGTCACTTTCCAGTATATGTTGGTCAACCCATTCCTTTTTGATTATTTTTTACATTTAACTATCTATGCATCTATCATCTATCTATACATCATCTATCTATCATCTATCTATATGTCTATCATCTATCAATTATCTATCCATTTCTCTATCAATCATTTATCTATCATCTATCAATCATCTATCATCTATCAATCATCTATCCATGTATCCTATCTATATGTCTGTCATCTATCAATCATCTATTCATTTCTCTATCAGTTATTTATCATCTATTATCTATCAATCATCTATATGTCTATCTATCAATCATCTATTCATTTCTCTATCAATCATCTATCATCTATCAATCATCTATCTATTCATCTATCTATCATCTATCTATCTACCAATCTATTCATCTATCATCTATCTATATCTATTCATCTATCTATCTATCTATCTATCTATCTATCGATCTATCATCTATCTATCATCTATCTATCTATTATCTATCATGTGTCTACGCATATGTGCATGTGCCCTGGTGTTGTGTGGAGGTCAGAGGAAAGCTTTCAGGAGTTGGTTCTCTCCTCCCACTGTGTGAGTGAGTCCTGGGGATCAAACTCAGGTCATCAAGCTCAATGGCACCTTTATCCTCTAAGCCATTGCTCCTGCCCATGCTTGTTCCTTCCTGCAGACCCTGACTGACATCTTGAAGAGGAATATAGGGGTAAGTCACCAGCATCTGCCTCCTCTCCCTCTCTCTCTCTCTCTCTCTCTCTCTCTCTCTCTCTCTCCCCTCCCCCCATTTTTACAACAGGACTCAGGGCCCTTCTAGCCTCTAGTTGGGCATTATAATAGCAGATATCTGTTACCTGAAAGCTATTCTTTTCTTCCTTGTGGCCAGGAAACATCCCTTCAGAGACCTGCACCCTGTCCTTCCCGTCTTCCTCACCCTCTTTCCCGCATTCATAGTAGACAGAGCTCCCCCACCCCAGTAATTCTGAGGGCAGGAATTGAGTGTGGGGCAGATGTGACAGCAGGGTCTGAGTCCCCCTGGGGAAGAGAATCAGGGTGGGACCATGGGGAGGACGCAGCTCAGAAGAAGAGAGGTGCACTTGGGAACCCTCACAATGCAGAGGCATTGCAGGTGGAGAGAGACAGACAATAGAGCCTGGGACGTAGACGAATCAGAAAGGGGCGATGTGGGTGTCAGTGAGGAGCTTAGGGACTGGCAGACCCACCCACAGGTTAGGGGAAGTGACTGGGGTGTCGATTCAGATGCTTTAAGGCCTTGCGTTGTGATCCTGTTTTGAAGATGATGGAGAGCTCCATAGAATTGTGGCTTCCAGGTCTCCCAGGTGCCATGCTCATGGCAAGAAAGATGGAGAGTCCCAGGGCACTGGGGATCCCAGGGTTTGTGGCCATGCCTGCCTTGGTCAGCATCCCCCTCTTGGCTCCTCAGGAGCAAAGCCCCAGAAGGGCTCTCTGTGCACTTGGCTGTGGTGTTGATCCCTCTCCCTCTGGTGGAGTCAAGAAAGTGAGGGGCTGGGAGATGGCTCAGTTGATAAAGTGCTTGCTTTGCAAACACAAGGACCTGAGTTCAATACCTAGCACCTACATCCAAAGCCAGATGTGGTGGTGTGTGCTTGTAATCCCAGTGTTGGGGCGGCAGAGACAGGTGCGTCCTTGGGCCTCACTGGCCAGTTGGTTTAGTTGCATCATCAAGCTCTGGGACTCTGAGAGATCCTGTCTCAAAGAGCAAGATGGACAGCTCCTGAAGAAGAGGAGCCAAGGTCGTCCACTGGCTTCCACATCCACGCACACACGTATACACGTGCAGGGGAATGAGGCCGTGGCCCAACTGTGTGGGACCCCCCCGCAAGACCAGTGGGGTGGGGATCTGACAGGGGACTCTAAGGAAAACGGGCTCCATGGAGGAGGGTGACAGCCTGTGTGTTTGGGGAGTGGGAAGGGGTAAAGAAGTGACTGGAAAGAAACACTGGCCTGGCGGGGGAGAGTTGGGGGCCACTGAAAGAGAGGCCAGGTTGTGCCAGAGGCTGGCCAGCCCCTGCAGGAAGTTCAGTTTCAGGCAATGTTGAACCAGAGTTCTGCCATTGAAACACGGTCTCTCACTGAACCCAGAGGTTGTCAGTTCTGTAGACTGGCTGGCCAGCAATCCCCCAGGAGCCTCCTGTCTCCACAGCCCCTTCTTCCCCTTCACAGCCTTTCCTCAAGTACCAGACAAGGTCCTTAGCCAAGGAAACTGTCCTGATCAAGGAGCCTCTCCCCTTTACCGGTCACTGACTCCCAGGACATCCCACCTCCAACCCCTTCCCCTTAAAACAGGTGGGGATGCCCTGCGTGCTTTATGATACGCTGTGGCCCATTCTGGCACCAGGGTGATAGTCACAGTCCCTCCTTCATTGCTCTCCCAGACACTGGGTGTTTGGCCAGGTACCTGGGCTCTTTGGTCAAAAAGGCACAGGCCAAGTCTAGTTTCTGCTGCTTACCAGATGTGAGTTTGGTAAGTCACTGCTTGGTTCCAGGCTCATTTATCTTCATCCAGATGACACTGAGGACCTCATCAGTTCTAACACATAGGCAAGGTGTTTAATATACACTTGAGTACATAGAGATGCTCAGCCAGTAGGAGTCCAGGGGTTATATGACTGACCTCTCAGCCTCTAGCTCAAACAAAGTCACCGTTAGTAACAGTAAGAGATCATCTTGGGACAGGCATGGTGGCACATGCCTGTAATCCCCGCACTGGGGACACAGAGGAAGGAGGACAGCCAACAACTGGAGGCCAGCCTGGTCTTCACAGTGAGCTCTAGGCCAGGCAGGAGTACATCGCAAGACACTGTTTCAACAAAACAAAACAAATCACTTGACACGCTGGGCATGGTAGTGCATGGCTGTAATCCCAGCACTTGGGAGGCAGAAGCAGGAGGATTAGGATTTCAAGATCATCCTCAGCTACATATCGAGTTCAAGGCCATCTTGGAATAGAAACCTTGTCTAAATAAATACATGCAAAAAAGCAAAACCCAAACCCAAACAAAAAGTTGAAAGAAATTAAGAGAGCATTGCTTCCTATCTACCTCAGGTCCCTCCTCTGGATGCCTGGGTCCTCTGGGTGTGGTTGTGACTAAAAGGGGAAGAGGGTGTTCAATCACAAGTAGTGATTAAAGCTTATTCTGAAACGAAAGTTCTTACCTTGGCACTATTGACATACCGGGCTGGTCATTTCTTCATTGTGGAGGGTGTTAAGTTCTTACCTTGGCACTATTGACATGCCGGGCTGGTCATTTCTTCATTGTGGAGGGTGTTAAGCAGGAGATGGCTGGGCAGCAACTCTGCCGCCTCCTGCCAGATGCCGGAAGCAGCCCTCTCCAAACTTACACGAGACTATCTCCTGAAATGGCCATGGCTCCCCTGGGGATGGACATTCCCCTCTATGGAGAACCACCCACCTTGAGTGCAGGGTCTCTAGAGGAAGGGTGGGGTGGGGGACTAGTGCAAATGGGTTATCTGTCACTTGAGTCCAGTGGAGCCATGGGCAAAGCTCTGCCCGCTTCAGTTTCCTGGTCCTGTAGGATGCCCATGAGGCAGGCTGCCCGGTTCTGAGCCATCAGTCTTTGGCCCAACTCCATGAAGCCTCATTCATTTCCCATTAATCGAGCATCTGAGCAGTCAGCCTCCCCTCCTTTTCTCTCCTGGTCCAGCCCTGCCAAAGGGCATAGGCACCAGTCACGCCAGACCAGGAGGGGAAGCAGCCTGTTCAGCCCCCAAATCCTTATGTGCCCCAGATGTCTGGGTCTCTGGCCTCCCATTTTGCAGATCTCTGGGCCTCTCCATTCCCTCTGTGGCCCCACTTCCCACAAGAAGGCATCAACAGCCCCGCTTCTAATCCACCCAGGAGATGACCATTTCTTAGGGCCTTGTGCGTGCTAGGCAAGCACTTGCCACTGATCCACACCCCCAGTCCTGGCAAAGGAATACAGACAGACTAGTTCATGTGTGCTGAATGCCACCCCAGGTTCTGGGGATGCAGTAGCGATGGAGACAAGGGTATTACCGCCAGGATGCTCAGATTGCAAGAGGCATACAAGTAAGCCCATTTCAGAGAGAACTGGGGACTCCTCTCTCCCAGGAGAGCTGGGTGCCCTGGTGCACATCTGTAATCCCAGCACTTGGAATGTGGAAATAGGAGGATCATGAGTACAAGGTCAATCTCAGCTACTCAGAAAGTTCAAGGTCAACCTGGACTGCATGAGCCCCTGAATCAAAAAATAAAAGCCCCAGGAAGTCTGTCCTCCCCTGCTCCAGCTCCAGGCACCGACACTGGGGATACAAGTCATGGTCTTTGATGCGTGCGTTAGGGAACGAGAAGAAAAGGAGGGGCAGAACTTCCAGAAATAGGAGGTTTGCATTTCTGAGCAGGAGAAAATGCAGCTTTGAGGCAGAGACAGCTGCTGGGCTGGGGCAGCGGGGGACATGTGCTCCGCCGGATACTGATGTCCTGAGTTGCCTGCATCCTTGATGAGCTGTGTGATGTCGGTCCCCAGCTTCATGCCCGTCTTGTCTGTCACTGTCTCAGCTGTCCCCACAGCCTATCATTTCAGACCTCCGGAAGCAGCTGCCCCTGCACGAGGAACCGTGTGAGGGCTGCACCCCCTTCTCTGCTCTTTCACCTGGTCTTGGGGACAGCTCCACCCATGCTAGAAAGTGTGACCATGTGTGAGTCAGGGGTGTGGAGCTGGCTGACGCCAGAGGCACAGGAAGGTGAGTGTGAAGCTGGACACCTCCTCCCAGAGCCCCGACCTGTCCAGAGCCCTGTCAGTCCTTCTAGAACCTGGACATTGGCTCGGAGCCTGCAGTTCACCCCATGCAAGCCCTTCCTTCTGCTGGGGTGGGGTCAGGATGCTGACTGGCCACCCCACCCAGATCCTTCCCCTATCTCCAGATCCCATCCCTTTGGTGGAACATAGATAGCCAGCTCCATGACACAACTGTGGTCTCCCATTATCAGGGCACCCCTGAGGGGTGGGGCAACTCCATTTACTTAAGGCTTAGTCCGGAGGAGCCCTAGCCCCCATGACGTCAAACCTGACTCCTTATAAGATGAAGGGTCCCAGGTCCATGGTCCCCAAGCAGCCACCCATCTCTGACATGGCTCAGCTGACCAGTGGCCCCCGCTCTGCTTGCTTCCTGTGCTGCCTCCTCTTCCTTCCCACTTCTTGGGAGGCAGGTAAGACACCCACAGGGGTGAAGGGGTCACCATTACATGGGGGACGGAAGTCACAGGGGGATTGTTTCTTGGCATTGATGGGGCTAGATGACATGAGTGAATGAGGGTGGGTGCCCCAGACCATGGCATGGGGTTGTCTAGTGTGTTCACTGTACAAGTTTGCTGGCCGAGGGGGATGCCGGAGAGGAATTACTTTGCTCTCCTCCTTTTGCGACACCATCTGTCGGACTGCACCTGCCCACAGTGGGGCTTCTTCATGCTTGCGTAAAGGCACTGTGAGGGCTGTTAGGTCTGAGCACACAGGGACGGGAGCCGGCAGGCCTAGAGCTCTTGCTACAGGAAGGAGGGGTATGCAGATGCTCGTGGTACCGTATCGTGTCATTTCAGCATCCGCCCGGTGGTCAGTTATATCTCATCTTCTAGAAGAAGAGTGATGCTCAGGAAGTAAGGGAGCTTTCCCAGTGTCACACAGCAGGCACCTTGCATCCGGTGCTGCCTGCTGTGTGGGGTGAGAGTGTGGGCTGCAGGAGTGTTCCGTGCAGACCTGGCTTCTCATCCTGACTCTGATCCATCTAGCTCACCTGCCACTGCTGGTAACACAGGAAGGGTGCCACCAGCAAGTGGGCTGCAACCTACCCCGTGCCAGGCGTCTCTCTGGGGACCTTCATTCAGATTTGTTAATTTACAAATCTCATGGCAGCTCAACAAGGTGCTGTCTCCATCTGACAAGTCAAAAATATCCCAAGGCTTGGGTAAGAACACAGAAAAGTTTGCTGGGCAAACAGACACTAGGGGAGACAGTGCCAAGTCAGGTCATTTACTTAATAGTTAGCACCAGGGAGTGGAGATGCCAAACACGAGGGCAGCTTGGAGGGGGCCTGGGCCATCTGGAGGAGAGTCTTCACCAGGTAGATATGCAAGAAAAACGCAGAGTTCTGCATCTCTGACAGAGACGTGAGACACCCCCCCCCAACCCCCCCCAAACACGGGACGGGGGGGGGGGGGCGA